ACAGTTACCCTGGCACTGCAGAGGAGCAAGGATGAGGAAGGTGGAGGGATTGTGAGATGTAGAAATATAGATGCTATTCAGTAGTTCTGACTTTAAGAAACTAGTGGACTATGAAGTAGGGTAGCCAAGCCTTTGCTCAGAAACCATAAAAATCTTATTTGAGAGGGAAAACGAGTATCTGTGTCTCAGCCTTCCTGTTCTTGTCTCCTTGCATTTTTTTTTGTGTTGTGATGAGTTTCTTTACTTTTGTGCCTTTAAATTTTTCTTCCATTAATTCTTGCCTTGCATGAGGACACGCATTGTGCTTGCTTTTACTGGTGTGCTTCCACTGTAAATACCATACTGAAATCCAGTATTTGGAACACAGGACTTTGCTAGCAAATTTTGCTCTTTCTATATTTAAGTCATTCAGCTGTCACTTCAGATGCTGCTGAAATAGAAACCACTGATGCTCTTCCAGTTAAATTGCTGAGGTGTAGTTCATAGTAAGTGACTTATTTTTAATAAGACCTATTTAATCTGACTGTCAATTCTTCTAAAAAAAAGTTAATAGTAAACTAGATAGCCAGTAGCAATTCAAATGTAGCTATATATTCTGAAATATGCAATGTTAAGAACTGGCTTGATGAACCACTCAAATAGATTAGTAAACAAGGAGATGATTAAACTGGTTTTGCAGGCTCTGTTTGACCTGACAGGGAAGTTACTTTCTAAATAGTATGTTCTGGAAGTATGACAGCAAAGGACTTAAACATCCTTTTTGTGGGCCCTTTTGCTGTCTGTCCTCCCCCGGGACATGTATGTTAGAGAGAGTGGTGACAATTCTCTGTTGTATAGGTCAAGTGTTTCCAGTGTCATGCCAATGATTAAGAAGAACTTTCCCCTTTATACCCAGTGAAAGGGGAATTCTAAATAAAAATAAGGCTCTGAAGCTGCACGACTTCCTTTAAAGCCTTGAAATCCAAAGGTAGCAGTCACTTAACCTTACATTTTAAGAGTGCCACTTCTACGGTAATAAGCTGTTCCTGTCTCTGAGTCTCACTCCAATTTGGTTTAGTTTTTACTTTGCAAAAAGTAAAGTCTGTGTAGTGTGGCTGTTCCAGATGTCTATTTTCAGTGCTCTGCTGTAGCTCCTGTAAATTCCAGGGGAAAATGTGTCGGCCTTCTGACAATCAGGTGAACAGTGCTTAAATGTCAGCTATAAATTTTCTAGTGTAGAAGCTGGCTGTGGATGGACCCACAGACGGAGAACAAGTGATTTGTTAGCCCTGGCAGTCTCAAACTCTCTTCCTAGTTAGTACTTTGGTATTATACTGCAGTAGTTTTCCCTTTGATCCAGGTGGTGTGCCAATGTCTGTCTCTGAAGACCTTATAAAAAAAAAGTAGATGAAGTTTTAGTCATCTCTGACTTGAAACATTGTTATGATGAGAATGAGGGTTGTGCTGAAGTAGAATGGAGATGTTAGATGCTCTTGCCCCTTATGAAAGGGTTCCTTTGTTAAAGGCTTTTGGCAGTTGCGTGATCAGAAATACACTAACCTTCATAAATATTAACAGTTAAACCTAGAGAAGGGAAGTGCAGGCAGAGTCAAAAATGGCTAATGATGATAATTGCTTGGAAATTGGACACTTCTTCAAGGGAGAAATCTGATCATAATAGAGTAGGTGGCTGTGCATCTGAAGGTTAGATTACATTTTCGGTGACTAATTGAACACCTGTAGTTGCTAGCAACTTAAAGCTCCACTGAAAAATCAGTTTATGCCTGTTTTATAAAAAAACCTGGGGTTTCTTCTCTCTCCCTCCCTGCCCTTTCTATCTTCTATTTAGGAATAACCTAATTTACTAGGGCATAATCATGTTTATGTTGTGTCCCTAAGGATTGTGTGAAGTGAAGTTGAAATTTCCTCCTGTAGCAGTACATCCATTATGGATAGAAGTAGCTTTTTAAATATCGAAAATGTGTGCTTCACTTAAATTGCTCTTCTGAGAACATAGTGTCTTTTATTTCTCATAATGTAGCTGGTTGTATATTGTTAAAGATTAACAGAATAAGGAGCTTGGCCTGACAACTGGCAGTTGCAGGAGATGCTACCAGTCTGTACGCAAGGTGTATGAATGGTAGCTTATGTTGAATTTAGGACTGATATGTAGGAGGTGTCCTAAACAGCTTTCTGTAGGGATATAAAGTTGTGAATACTGCTTGCCAATGATTATAAAGAGGCAAGGACATGAAACTGGATTAGCTTCTCTTCATGCTTTTAGCTTTCTTTTTTTGGGGAGAAAAAAGCATGCTTGGGAACTTAAATAGTATTTCTACCTTGAAATGAGGTTCAGTGAGGCCTCAAATTCAGACGGAGCATTAACTGATAAATGTAGACCTACAGGGTAGATACCTGTGGTTGTATCAGGGGCACAGATGTGCAGACTGGCATAGGTTCTGCCCCTGCTGTATGGGTCACTGGTAGAATTGTCTGGTTTCACTAGGATGCTTTGACAGAAGAATTTCTGGAGCAACCTTGCCTGCAATATGAGGCTATGTGGCTTTGCCACTTGATGTGCTAGCATTTACCAAAGTCCACTTTCTGCTGACAAATATTTCCGAAGGGTTGTAGTTGGGGTGGGATTGTGAAGTAGGTAATTATTACATATGGAGTCAGTACTGGCATGAAAGTTCAGGGGGGTGATTTAATTCTTTCACCAAAACTTTATTGCTGGTTGGCTGGTGGTGAGATTACTTAAGGGATTACTTGCATGCTAAATCATTAATACCCTTTGCACAAGCTTGGGAGGAGGTATGCAGGAACTCCTTCCTCTTAAAAGGAGAGGAGGGAACTGGCTTATCTTTAGCCCTGCTATATTTTTAAGATTAATTTCCTCCTATCACTTTCCAAATCATGAAGTGGTCATTCTATCTGCATAATATAACTTGAAAGCAGTTATAAAACTTGGGGTAAAATCTTCCTGAATTTAGCTCTGTTAAAAATTTATTTGGTGAGGCCCTGTTGGTAAGGTAAGACAAAATTCAATCCTTCCCTTAGAAAGGTGTCCTTGTGCCATCTCATCTGTAGTTGCTTCAGTCACACAGGACACATCCAGAGCTCTAAAGATCACTTTTTCAAATGAAGTTTCAGGCTTTTGTTTTCTGTACTGTTTTTATGCTGGTGGGCATGAGTTATTCAGAGAACATGCTATCTGCGCAAGAGGAACTTGAACTTCCAAGGGTACCGATGTTTGCTTGACAGTTTTCATTCCTTGGTTTTGTATTGTGGTTCCCACATTAGTAAAAAGAGCTATGAGCTGCTATGAGGTCTGTAACTGTCTTCAATTTTGGCTGTACACTGTGCATTAAGCAAACAAGCTTTGCTCATATGTAACAACACTTGAAAGTTTTTGTCAGCTGTTCATGCTGTGAATGGTGTCCTTTTGGCTCAGAGGTGTTTTGGTGCAGTTGCCTAAGGGTTGTGAGCATGCATTTAGACCATAATCCTCAAGGCCATCACTATTGTTAGAAAACTGGCTGCAATTGCATGTTGCTGTAGTGACAAACTGGATGTGACCTCAGCACAAGTCTTTAAAATACGGTTTTGTTGTAGCTATAAAACATCCCCTCTGTCATTAGAAGTAAGTTAAAGAATAATCTAAGAACGGTAGATCTGGTATGCAACGTAGTTTTGGAGTATTGGATAGTGCTGATAAGCCTTTAAGACTGTAAATTCTTTTAGTTGCCTAAACATGCTTTGGAAAGTTGAAAGTTTGCTTTCTAGCATGATCTTATGCCCCTACAGGCACTATTAACTCTGCTTGAGTTATGTTTGTAAGTCTACAGGGCTACAGCCTGAGGCAGGAGTGTACGGGAAGGAGGGGATGTTTGGTTTTATACTTGCTTTCAAAAAAGTATTAGTCTCAGTTACAACTCTGGTTTTGGAAGAAAAATTTGGAATGTGATTCAAAGGAGAAAAGGTGAGCAAGGCACAGGTTGTTTTTGTGGTTTTTTGGCAGATAAAACTATGAGCAGCATGCTAGGAGTGTTGCCTTCTGTGTCAACCTAAAGGTGCAGTGATCGTGTAGTTTTTCTAGCAAGAAAGTAAAATTGAAACCCATTTTACTTACAAGATCTTTTGAGCTATGGCTTGTCAAGGTCTGCCATATTTTAGGTGTGACAATATGCTGGGCACCTTATAAATTAGTTGAAGTGTGATATTTTAATTCTGTAAAGTCTCTGTTAACAGATATTTTTTTCTTTGGTCATCCTGCTAAATTAGAGATCGAAAGAGGGGAATCAAATCAACTGTCTGTTAAATAGGAAGAAATTTTCTTCTGGGTCTGCCTCAGTAGCCTCAACTGCTTATAGACATCTGCCAGTAGTATCAATGGCTGGTGGTGGTAATTCCAGAATAAAACCTGGGGAAGGGGACTGATGAATGAAAATGCCAGTGTCCCACAGTTGAAAGGACAAAAAATATTGAACAGGTGATGGAGGATTGATTACTCCATAGATTACTCTCCGCTTGAAAGAGCTAGCTAATTGTATTTCAATTCCTGAACTGAATGGAAATTGCAGTTTCTGCATGATGCATTTAAAGTCCTTCATAAGCAAGGAATACATTTTCTGTTTAGGCTTTTGCAGGTACGTAGGTTGTGGTGGTGTGTACATGTGTCTGCTGTTCTGCTCATGGACTGTGGCAGTGTAAGAGCAAAATTATGACACTTCTGCAGCATGATCTGCACAACTGGCACACGTGGTCCTCCACTCAGTTAACTTCTGTTTTGTATTAAATACTTAGCTTTATGTTGTACTCCTCTCCAGCTTTTAGAGCTGTGTCAACCAGCCAGATGCAGTAAATAAGAGCTGAAAAGAGAAGTTTGCACTCTTCTTTCAGTAGTATGACTAGGCGTTTCACCTGTTGTCTTGGATGCTTGGTTTTGTACTGAGAAGCAATGCTTTGCTCTGCATGCAGCACTGGCTTGACCTCTTTGCCTTGTCTTATTTATTCAGATCATGGAGCTGAAATGGCTACTGTATGTGACCCTGGTCGCTCTTGGGACTCTTGCTGTCCAGGCACATGATATGGATGATGACAATAATGGTGATGATGTAGTTGATATTGAGGATGACTTGGATGATGGCATTGAGGAGGCAGAAGAGTCAAAGTCTGAAATGAGCACTCCTCCTCCAACTCCAAAGGTTTGGCATGGAACTTCTTTTTAAAAATTGCGTTACCGCTTGTGTTGTGGTTAATGTAAGTCTGATCAGAGTTGTCTTTACTTTGCTAACATTTAATATGTTGTGATGTTAATAAAGATGTTATCTGGGAGTAAGGCTTGGAATTAAGCCTAGCTGCTTCATTCCTATTCTCATGTCTTCCATGTTCTTCCTGAAGACTTAGATCCACCTTTGAAATCTGTGATGCGATTATAAGGAGTTAATGCTAATGTTTCCGGCTAGATATATACTTTAGTTTTAGTTACAGACAAGAGCACAATGGCTTGGCACAAGCAGCAATATTTATTTAATTTCTGTATTTATGCTGCAGGGGTGTTCCAGGTAAGCTGTACTTGAGTGTAGAGGGGGAATGTGAGCTGTATATGCCTGTATTTCTTTAGAATAGAGAATGTGCCTTGAAAGGTGCATAAATGCCTCTCTTCTCCAATAGGTTACCTACAGGGCCCCAGTCCCAACCGGCGAGGTGTATTTTGCGGAGTCCTTTGATAAAGGAACTCTGGATGGGTGAGTATAATCTGAAGGATGATTCAGTATAGCAAATAATTAAAGATTTTGGTGGAAGGCAATGAAACCCTCACTAGAGCTTGTGTTATTCAAAAATCGAATTCAAAATCGAATCAAAGGGAGTGGTTGGCGAGACCCTCACTAGAGCTTGTGTTATTCAAAATCGAATCAAAGGGAGTGATTGGCGAGCATTACAGCAGTGACTATATGAGGCTGCCTGTTAAAGTGCTGAGCTAAACTAGTATTTCCTTAAGTTCTGGTAACAAGGGGGAGGTGAGCTGGAGGTGAGCCATACACGTGTAATGTTTTAATCCTCATCTGACTTTTTTCTTCAGGTAATGTGAGGATGGTGAGGTACTTTTATTTTTCTACAAGAGCAAGACACTGAGGCCATGGTCCTGCTTTGGGGGTGGGGTGGGAAGTGGCAAATGCAGAAAACTTTGCAGGCCTGGGGATAGAACTCCTCAGGGAGGAGGATAGGAGGAGGATAGGACCCAGGACATTGGGCTGTAATTGCAGGCCTGGGGATAGAACTCCTCAGGGGATGAAGACACTGGGCTGTAGTCATAGGACAGCATGGGTTATCTTATCTTAAGGGCAGGATTTTTAGTGGGGGAAAAAAAGGTATGGTTTTTCGACCATTGGATGTCTGTCTTCTAGATGGATCCTTTCCAGGGCAAAAAAAGATGATACGGATGATGAGATTGCCAAATACGATGGTGAGTCCAACCCAGGTTTTAGATGATAGATGTTTCTGATGTTTTTTGTCATACCTGAAGAAGAGGTGCAAGCCTTTGTTTTCTGTTTCCCAGTTAAAATTATATTCACTGAAGAAAATGGGAGGAGTGTTTATATACCTGGCTAAGAATATAAAGTGTAGTTCTGATTCAGACAAAATATCCACTTGAAGGTTTCAAAATAATTTTTAGTGAAGATGTTATGCTAATAACTTGATAAGGTACCCTGTAGGGTGTTATTTCAGAATGCTGACTATCTTGTTCAAGACAGTCTTTGTTTAGCCCAATTTTGAACAAGTTTTGATAATGTTGGGTTAATTTCTTTCCAGGTAAATGGGAAGTCCAAGACATGAAGGACACTAAGCTTCCAGGAGACAAAGGGCTTGTACTGGTAACCCGAGCCAAGCATCATGCAATTTCATCCAAACTTTCAAAGCCTTTTGTATTTGATACCAAACCCCTTATTATACAGTAAGTAAAGGATAACTTAGTGTTCTGTTATTTCAAGGGTGATATGATAGCAGGCTGAGGTTAATTCCATAACAGAGCTTCTGTTGCCTGGGGGTCTAGATGACACAAGATACTGTAACCTATTATTATACTGTTTAAGTAAGAGTAAAATAGCAACCCGTATTCCCAAAGTGGTAAGTTAGGAACAGCATGGGTCCCTCTGAAGCCTGAAAAGGAGTCTATGAAAACTAGACTTGGTAACCTGTCTCGGGACTTCAATTCACTTGATTTAATTGTAGTAACAAGGTCAGGCAACTGACTTTTGTACTGCTAATTGTGAAAGTCCTTGTCCTTTTGGAGGAAAGCTGGTCTGTATGTAGGTCAGTGGACTTCCTTATGCAGTAAACTGCCCCCTGTTTCCAAGGTGGAGTGGACAGAGTGGTAAAGATGCACTCGTTTCCTCCTTCCTTTGTCTTGGTTCATCTGTCATGGAAGACGGAACAGCTTGCCTAGCTCTGTTTGGCCATGACTGATGTAGAAGAATCTACTTGTATGTATGTAAGACTAGCAAGAAGGGGAAAAAAAATATCATTCAGTGAGAACAGTTGAATTGTGGATTATTACCTACTTTATCAGTTTTAAACAGAGTAAGCTAATTTGTATTTGCACAAGATAATGCATTGGTCACTTTGCTTTGCATGACTGTTTAGTTTTGGCTCAGAATACAAGGCTAAAAATAAATCCCAGTGGTCATCCACTCCAGCTGCTGGCATTGAGAGAGGATCAAGCATACTTAGCCTATTCCTGACAGAGATGTTTTGCCTTTTTCAGACTCCTTGGCATCCCTAAATATACTGTTGTATGCTTATAACCCTAAAGGGGCTTCTCCTAGGATCCAATTGTTGTTGCTTTGGTAGTCTTGCAAATTGAGTTGTCTGTCTGCCATAGTAGTTGTGGGGAAAATAATTGGCTTGCCTTAAACTCTGTTGCAGTGTCTTACATACTGGTAAGCTTTTTCTTCCTTCTCTCTACTTCTAGATCATAATCTTCTAGACCAGCACTCAATTCCTTTAATCTTTTCTGTCAGGTTAAGTCTTCTAAATCCTCAATTTTTCTTGTTTCTCAGGCTCTTATGAATATTTGCTTAGTGCTTAGAGTGTAGTGTGTATTTCTAATATTCACTGGACATGAGATTTAAAGCAAACAACAACAAAATGTCTTACTCTTAATTTGTACTCAAAAACTGTAATTGTGTATTACAGAGGTAATTTTTCCTCATGTATAACATGTTCCCCCTCTCTCTCTGTCCAAAACTAAAATTAGGTATGAAGTAAACTTCCAAAATGGAATAGAGTGTGGCGGGGCCTATGTGAAATTGCTTTCAAAAACCCCTGAATTGAACCTGGTGAGTAATGCTGCTACTTTGAGTATTAGCTGTGAAAGAAAACTTTTTTTCATTTTGCTTCTTCCTGAAGAAACCTCTTCAATAAAGGCAGTGGGGCATATTTAGGGCCTGATCTCCAAAGTACTTTGCACTCAGCAGTTTTTGGCCTTTTGAGTGAAAACTCTGGAGTTTCCTAGTAGCTGAGCAGTTCTAGACCTTTGCTAAAGTCTGCAATACTTCACTGGCTTGATATCCAAGTTGCAGAATAATTTCTAATGAATTGGGAGTTCTTATGCCAAGCAGTGACTTAAGTTGTATTTCAAAAAATAATGGAATGAAGTTCTGCATTGTTTTTAAAGGATCAGTTCCACGACAAAACTCCATATACAATCATGTTTGGTCCTGACAAATGTGGAGAGGACTATAAATTGCACTTCATCTTCCGGCACAAAAACCCCAAGACTGGCAAATATGAGGAGAAGCATGCAAAGCGTCCAGATGCAGACCTGAAGACTTACTTTACTGATAAGAAGACCCATCTTTATACTCTGGGTACGGTGACTGTTAACTATGTATGTTAATAACTACTACTATGTTTCCTGAACCAAAAGCTCATAAATGAGCCAGATGAACTGAATATTTGTGTCAACACACCATACAACTAAAAACCACTTGAAAGCTCTGAATGTAAAAACTGATCTTAATATACAAAGGCTTATTTCTTCTTTGCAAGAAGTCTTGATTCATGTAAGAAAGGTCATGAGACCTTGAACTTAAGGGAGAGCTGAATTTCAGAGCAGTCCTGAGTAACTTGATATGCTAAGTATATCCAAAATAATTATCAACACTTATAAGCTGCTTGAATGCTGCCCCCTAGTAATTTGGGGTATACTAGGCTTTAGATTTAGAGGGATAGTCTTTTTTTCTTGCTGCTTTCACAGTACCAGACAAACTCAGTGGTTCTTGGAAGTACAGTGTCTGGTCTGGGATATTAGCTATGACTAAAACCTTTCAGGGAGTACTCAGGAGGATCTCTCTAGCTTTTCCTACTACAGAGGCAGCAATGGATAAAGGAGTGAGATTAAAATACTGTGAGTCAGTAGTAGGGAGTCTTATTCTTGAGTAGAATGTGAATACATTCTTACTACTAAAGCAATACTGGCTGTGCTAAAGTCAACTTGCTGTGGTAACTGGTGAATCACTCTACAAGCTTCTTTGTGCCTTTAGCATATTTAAAGTAGGACTCCTGCAATGAGTTGTCTTTCTCACAAGGTGAGATGTGCTACATCATCACTAGTTACACTATGGCATAAGGAGAAAAGTTCTTAACAATTCTTTAAAACAGTTGCTGGATAGGTGGTAGCTTGGATTGCTGAAGCTGTAATTGTACAGTGGGGATGAGTGATACTTTGATGCATGCTTTCTATCATATGTGTAATGGCTACATCAACTTTTCTCCTTACAGTCTTGAATCCTGATAATAGTTTTGAAATACTGGTTGATCAAACGGTTGTCAACAGTGGGAATTTGTTAAATGATATGTCTCCTCCTGTGAATCCACCCCGAGAGATTGAGGACCCGAATGACCAGAAGCCTGAGGACTGGGATGAGAGACCAAAAATCCCAGACCCGGATGCTGTTAAACCAGATGACTGGTAAGCTGTTGGAGGGGTGGAATTGAGGCAAGCCTTGGCCTGTGATAACTTGGTCCTGATCAAAAAGTCTTTCTCAGATGACTGACAGAAGGTTTTGAGTCTCACCCTTGTAATCAAAACACAGTCAGTTTAGGTGTTTGAGCAGCACTTTGGTAGACAAAGGCAGACAGGATCCATGTCCTCTGGGAATTACTGTTTAGTGTTCCTGTTACTGTGCTGGCCACAGGTAAAGGTTTTACTGAAACAGCTATGCTAGCTGATGCTTTCATCCTTGATGAGATCAAAAGATGAGCTACAGAAGGTATAACTGTAAGGTGTTTGTAGTTGTTTGTGTAATGCATAGTTACAAGTGACTGAAATATCTGACATCCTGAATCAGAAACTGATACTGGGTTTCTGTCTTTGAACCTATGCTTTGTGAACCATGGACTCAATTTGAAGCTCAAATGCGTGTTTGCAGCAACCACTAAGATACGGGATTTGCTGTAATATGCCCTTTCTAGGTTGGCTTTAAAAAATAAGTAGTACTACCTTACAGTTGACATCATTACTGTGCCATGAGGCACATATATAGGTAACAGATTGCAAGGCAATTCTGTTCTGAAATCATGGTGTTATGCTTACCCTATCAGAAGCAAAGCTGGCTGGTTGTCTAGATCAGTGGGCTTGTTCAGAGTCTGTAGAATCATGCCTTGGGGTTAAGAACTTGTGTGTGTTAATACATAATTTTCTGTTCTCAAGGGATGAGGATGCTCCTGCAAAGATCGCAGATGAAAATGCTGTGAAACCAGAGGGCTGGCTGGATGATGAGCCAGAATACGTAGCAGACCCTGATGCTGAGAAGCCTGAAGATTGGTATGTTTACTGCCTGTTGCAAATCACAGCAAATACTTCATGGCTTTGGTACTGGCTTTTACAAGTACAAGAATGGCTAGCTTGTTGTTGCTTGCTAACAAAGTCATCAATTCAGGCTATCTTGCTTCAAAAGTAGAAGGCAGAGTTGGTCTGAGGAGTCTTTGTGTTCTTGCGTTCACCTGCGCACTTTTCAGCTCTTCTGTTCTGTGATTGTAAGCTGAACAGGGCAGGGATGGTCATCTCGCAGTTGTACCAGTCTTGGAAGGGGTGGCAGGGGAGGCTGTGCTCAGGGACTGGCTTTTGTTGAGCTTCTGTGCTTCCAAGCTACTTCTTGAAATCATCATTCCTTCTGTGGTGTCTTTACCTACAGACCAGTGCTATACAAAGTTTCAGTATCTCCCTTTTATGGTAGGAATTTTAACTTTCCCAGAAATCAGACATTGTCTAAGTCTTACTCTGTATAGAGACAAGGGGCAGACTTCAAAACTGAATTTCCCTTTTCAGGGATGAGGATATGGATGGTGAATGGGAGGCACCTCAGATTGCAAATCCTAAATGTGAGACATCCCCTGGCTGTGGTACCTGGCAGCGACCGATGATTGACAATCCAAACTACAAAGGCAAATGGAAGCCTCCTATGATTGATAATGTCAACTATCAGGTTGGTGTTTTCATTGCTTAAAACTGCTGGCCAATGCAGCATTTCTCTTACAAAAAGCAGAATGATTTAGATTCATCAGGTGTAATTAAGAATACAAATACCATCATGGTTGTACTGTGTTTCAAGTGGACAGATTCAAAGTGCTTTCTTACTTGGCTTCACTTCTTGTAGCACAAACGAAAAAAAAAACCAAAACACCTGATGAGTTGCACCCATAGACATTGTAATTAAGTGCAATGGATTGGTCTTTCAGTTCAAAATGGGCTGAAAACTAAAAATTGTATTATAGCAGGTGAGGCTGAATGTCTTGTCTTTCCTAGGGTATATGGAAACCTAGGAAGATCCCAAACCCAGATTTCTTTGAAGATTTGGAACCTTTCAAGATGACTCCCTTCAGTGCTGTGGGACTTGAGCTATGGTCAATGACTTCTGACATCTTTTTTGACAACTTTATTATCTGTACTGAAAGAGCTGTGGCTGATGATTGGGCCAGTGATGGATGGGGACTGAAAAAAGCAGCTGATGGTGCTGCAGAGGTGAGAAAGAGAGGTTTAATTGTGTGCTTCTGACTGGAACAGTAGCAGCATTGCTGCTGTTCTCTCCCACAGACTTTATCAATATATACCTGTATGTACCAAGGCTAGGGGTTATGATAAACCAGATTGGAACCTCAATTCCTAATTATAATATGGTAATGGTTGCTGTAAGTAGCAATCAGTACTCACTGCTCTTTTGTGAGGTTTTTGCTCTGAGAATTGGGCTGTTAACTTTAGCCTAATTCTTCATTTGTAAACTATAGAAAAAGTATTTGTGCAGGTTAGCTTTAATTTTTTTGAGGTATGAAATATAATGTTCAAAGTTGTAAAAAGCCTATTTGTTTAAGCTACAGAATTTTCTTCACTGCTACAACTTGCTGTATGGGATGAAATTTGACAGTTCTTTTTATCTTATAGCCTGGTGTTGTGGGCCAGATGATGGCAGCTGCTGAAGAGCGTCCCTGGCTTTGGGTAGTCTACATCCTCACTGTGGCTTTGCCAGTGTTCCTTATTGTCCTTTTCTGCTGTTCTGGGAAGGTATGCATTTCCTCTGGTAATAAGTAGTATAATCTTTAAAAAGAGATCCAGCAAAATGTGCCTTAACATCACAAATACTTGCCTGGCTTTGACAACTTTTTTTTTAGAAACAGCCAAGTGCTGCAGAATACAAAAAGACTGATGCTCCTCAACCTGATGTGATGGATGAGGAGAAAGAGGAAGAAAAAGACAAAGGGGGCAAGGAAGAGGAGGAGGAGGAGGAGGAAGCAAATGAAGAAAAGCTAGGTAGGTAAACTAGATAATCTTGAATCACGTTGAGTTTTCTCTCTGATAGAATAAAACAGCAGGATTGGCAGACATGGAGTAAAGCCAACAGTGAACTGAAAGTAAGTCTTAATGAAAAGAGAATGAGATTTTTTTTTTTAATTTCCCTTAGAAGAGAAGCAGAAAAGTGATGCTGATATAGGAAGTGCTAGTCAAGAGGAGGAGGAGGAAGAGGAGGAGGAAGAGGACAGGAAACCTGCATCAGAGGTGAGAGTGCTTAATCTTTGAGGGAAGTCTCGTGCGTGTTTTTCCTTAGTAAAGTTTGTTCTACGTGACTTAAGTGTTTAAAAGTAAACCTGGCTCGTGTGATACTCTCTCCCAGTGTCAGAACTTTGGAAAACTTAATCACCCTGCAGAATAGGAATTGCTGTGGCCAACTTCAGCAGAGCTGGGCACCTTGCTAAAGGCACTGCCATAGACCCTGCGTTGAGAGGAGCGGGATTGTGTGGAATGCATCTTCTTGAGGCAAAAGGCTTATTCAGCTTTGTATGCAGTCAGGATGTGACCTCTTCAGTGCTCCACACTGACATAATGGCCGACTTAAAAATGGGTGGAGTGTTGCTTAAAGTTAAAGGGATTCTCGCAGCAGCAGCAGTTGTTGAGTACTCAGCAAAGAGTGTACATCCACTGTGAAAACAAGAGGATTTGTGTTTGCTGTGTGTAGAAAGGAAGGGTAGTAACAGCAGTAGGTCTTTTCAAAAATTAAATCCTAATGTAGAAGTGAAAGTAGATTATTCTTTGTAGGTTTGCTCAAAATGGTTTTAAGGGTATTCTTGGCTTTTATTTCCTTGATGTTTACACAAATTACTTTCTTGCAGGAGGAGGAAACTGTGAATAGATCACCCAGAAACAGAAAGCCAAGGAAAGATTGAAAAAAGTTATAAGAACTTGATCTGTGATTTTTTTTTTTTCAAACATGGTTCTGGGAGAGGACCTTGGACACCTTACATTGAAACTTGGACAAACCTCAAGATTTCACCATCCACAGGTTCCAGTCACACTATCCAATGTAATAGTGTCTAGCAGTAAAATATTTGCAATCATCTGTTTTAAAGAACATCATTCCTGTAGAAAGAATGCATTTAATATAATGGGCTGTGGATTTTGGAATGTAACATAACTAACCTTTTCATTTTTGGTTTTAAATATTCTTTTCTGTTTTTAAGTAGATTGGTAGAACTTTTCTGGTCTCAAACCTTGGCTTAATTTAATATATTAATTAGTGAAAAATAACAATGAATCTTGAAAGTGCTAGGTGATAAAAATGCAGTTTTATAACTAGTTTTTTTTTACAAATATGTAAATTCCTGAATGCACCAATGTCTTTATATCCCTTAAAATTTGGTAATTGTTTAAAGAAAAGTTGTCAATGTATTTGACAACCCCTCTGCTGTCAAAAGAAAAGAAAACTGGGGGGGATGTATGGGGAAATGAGTAGTGAAACTCTCTAATCAATCAACTTCATTCTTTTGGGGGGGAGGGGAAAGAGGAAGAAGGGGTGGAAGGAAGGGGTTAGTCAGTCTATAGAATGTGCATACTGTGCATGGCTAAAGCCCTGTTAAGTGTTGACAAATGATCTAGGATTTGGAATGGGTCATCTTAATGTGGCATTTAATCCTGCAGGCCTTGCAGATAATGGATTTTGTTTAGTTCTTGAACTCTTTTTGTAAAGCTAATGTGTTGTTGAGGGAGGGTTAGACTACTTCCCCCTTTCCCCTCTGTTCAGCCACTGATGCTTTCCTTTCTCGGTGACTATACAGCTTTTTCTGAGTGCGGCTTTGCCTCAGTTGCTGAAGCGCTTCATGTTCAGCTCATCGTCAAACTCTATTTTTATAGCTAGGCCTACTCCTTTCCAGGGTCCAAACACTGGGTAGGACAGTGTCCCATATCCTCTCACTGTTATCACTGTATGTCTCCTCCTGTAGAAATGGGGGAGGTAGTCAGGTACACAAGCTGAAATCAGTATTTGTTGGGGGGGGGGGGGGGGTGGGAACAACAACCAACCAAGATGTCAGTATTGTAGGTGGGGAAGGAGCATGTGGAATATCTTAACTGGTATGTGAAACTGTTTAAGTCTTTTATCTGCTCTTCATGTAACAAATGCATCCTAAATTATATTGTGAATGTTAGGGAGTTCCAATTCCAGCTGAATAAATTTTTTTAAAGCGTTGAGTCTACCATATTATACTGTTTCAAACACTTTTTTTGGTGGAATGCAGGTGATCACTACAAGAGCATACCTCTGAGGGTGAAATCTATGTAACTTCATTACACTGTACCAAATATGTTGGCGTTTGGATGTCTATATAGATAAACTTTTGCCTTTGTTTAGAGTGAAATTAAATGTCCTGAAATTACTCTTCTTGCACTGAATTCAAACACTCCAGTGTTGTTTGGTCATAGCATAGGTATAGTGTGGGGAATAATTCCCAGGGGTTGGGGAGGGAAGAGTGTTCCAATTATCTTGCAAACAATCTAACTGATTACTAAAAGACTCTTGTGGTTTTGGTTTTTTGTAAAACACCTTTTTGCTGCCTGTCCTTCTGTTGTATCCCTTGGTTGTTGTGTTTGAAATATTAGTGATCACAAATGCATAGCAGGATTTCTTGATCTTTCTGCAGTGTGCAAATAAACTATTGTAAGCAAGATACTGGAAGTAATTTCAGACTTCTGTTGGGAGCTATTGCATGTTTAGAATGCCTTTGCCTGTTGAACACCTGGTAAATACTGCTCCTTATTGCAAAAATAGCTTATACTCTGACATGGAAGATGTCATAGCTTAAGCATTGCTACTAGCTTGTTCTCAGGACTGTATTTTTATCAAGGAGCAGCTGCTATTTATGACTCTCAGTCCTTTGAGATGAAGTATATGTAAATGATTTCAATTCAGCTAACATTTTGAGCACAACATAAAAATCTATTAATCTAATGTTTTTTATCTTAATATGCAAATTGCCTTAAATTCCCAAACAATTCATGTGCATACATGTTCTTTCAAAGCATCAAAAGTGAACTTAAGATCTGCTATCAGCTTTTAAATAGTATTATATTAAAGCTAATTGTAAATCTACATTTGCTTCTGCTAAATCTCCTGAAAAGGTCTCCTGTCTTGCATGTTATGGCTTTTTTTGATACCATAGTGTATGCTTAAATAATCACTACAATAAATGAAGACTTTCCAAAATGGATAGACAACTCCAAAGTTACTTTTTATCCTGCTTTCTGACTTGGGTGGCTCAGTTTAACCTCAGAATCACTCTTATTTTTAAATCCTTTGAGGAAAAATTAGCTATCTGCTTATCCTGAGTACTTTTAAAGCATAGCTGTGTTTTTGAAGTACTGAAGCTCTACCTGGTTGTAACTCGTGAACTAGGTTTGGAACTGTTAAAAATACTTGAGGGTGTATTTGGGCCTTTTATGTCTGTGCACCCAAGAGTGGCAGCTTCTGAAAAGGATGCTCTGCTTAACTGAATGTGTCTGAAGATGGTGGGAGGTAACCTGGGATCGTAAATCAAAACAAAACCCTAGGGGAGTAGGTGCAGACAGGGTCTCAAACACAACCTGTTTTCAGCATTTCTACTGCCTTTTCTCCTGGAGTTGGTGCTCAGTAAAGGTGCAGCTAACCAACTAACCCCTTCCAGAAGTGTCACTGGACGTGATCTAGCCTTTCTGAGTCTGGCTAATAGTGAATTATCACAGCTTGAGGCTGTGACCTGTAAAATGCGTTGTGTATGTCTGTTTTTAAGATTGACTGCTGGGCCTGAGGGGGGATTCTTGCAAGTGCTAATTGCTAGTTAATGTACATCTCCGTGGTTGTCTCTCACTTGTCCCTTACTCCTTCCTCAAAAGCAGTGCTCCGCTTAGGCTGTGGTTACGTGTGTGGGGCTTGGGACCGCTCTCTCCATCCCTAACTGCTCCCCAGTTAACACCACTATTGCCTCATGGTTTCAAAAAGGGGTTTTGGGTTTTTTTTTTTGTGTGTTGCTGAACAAGGACTGTGATTTCATTTGCAGAAAACACCTGTCCATTTCAAAATGGTACCTGTAGATGCAACTTGAGGGGGGGGAAAAAAAATATGTAAAAGCTAATAAATAAAGAAACTTAAATCTGTTTGGCTTTCTTTGTCTAACTAGCAAAACTGCCTAAGTCTTCATTGCTTCTGGTTGATGTGAAGTGAAGGGAGCGGGTCTGGACTAGGAACCAGCTTCAGCAGGTGATGGGAAAGGTGACGATACCCTGCCCCTGTGAGGTGATCAGTAACTCTCTTTGCTACAGGAGGTTTTTTTTTTTTCCTCCCCATACTCCACAGCCAGGTGCTAGGTAAGCCCACGTGTTGACCCAAAAGAAGAGGTTCTGTAGTGCGGAGCTCAGCTCTGCCTAGGAGCCCTGTTGGGTGAGGGCCGAGCCCGCCGCCCCTCGCTGCCGGCAGGTGAGCCGTGCGGGCCGGGGCCGGGGGGTTCCCGCTGCCGCCGTTGCCCACGCCTCCCCGTCAATCACCTCTGGCTCCCCC